CCTCCTTTACCTGCTGAACCGGCTCTAACTTGAACTGGAAAGTTCCTGAAGGAGGCTTTTCTTTTTAACAGCTTTATGAGACGTGATTCGCATACCATACCATTCACCCATTTAAAACGTACAGTTCAATGATTTTAGGTATATTCAGAGTTGTGCAACCACCACCACAATTTTGGGACATTTTCATCACCCCACAAAGAAACTGCCTACCATCAGCAGTCATCCTCCCTCTGCCAGCCCTAGGCAACCACGAATCTTCTTTCTTTCTGTCTCCATAGATTTGCCTATTTTGAATATTTCATACAAATGGAATCATACAACATGTAATATTTTGTGACTGGCTTTTTTTCACTTAGCATAACGTTTTCAAGGTTTATCCATGTTGTAGCACGTATCAGTACTCCATTTCTTTTTTATTTATTTATATTTATTTATTTTTGGTGAGGAAGATTGGCTTTGAGCTAACATTTGTGCCAATCTTCCTCTATTTCATATGTGGGATGCCACCACAGCATGGCTTGATGAGCGATGTGTAGGTCCATGCCTGGGATCCGAACCTGCAAACCTGGGCCACCAAACTGAGGGCATGAACTTAACCACTAAGCCACTGGGCCAGCCCTTCCCTTTCTTTTTTAATGCTGAATAATATTCCATGATATGGATATACCACATTTTATTTATCCATTTGTCCATTGATGCATGTCTGGATTCTTTCTATTTTTTGGTTATTACCAATAATGCTGCCATAAATATTTGTGTATAAGTTATTGTGTGAACGTATATTTTCATTGCTCTTGGGTATATACCTAGGAACAGAATTACTGGATTACTGGTAACTCAATGCTTAATGTCTTGAGAAACTGCCAGACCATTTTCCAAAATGGCTAGGAGGGTTTTCTTTTTGGGCCCATGGACACAGAAGTGTGTAAGACTCTATAACCAAAAGGAAAGGGACCTCCATGTAAATTTCAATAAACTCAATTTTGGCTGAGTTCTTTATAAATCATCATTCCTAAACTAAGCTGGAAACACGACAGTTCACAAAGTAATCATTAATATTAGGGAGTTTGTGGGTAACTTGCATTCCTGGATTCCTATCCTTGAAACCAATCTGCAGAGAGAAAAAAAGGTACCATCTACTCTGAGGGCTCCAAAAACCCTGAGGATCAGTCTGCTGAGACCAGGACTATCTGTCTCCTACAGCTGACAGCCCCAGGGGGTGCAACTGCAGGCTTCTCATTTCTTGGTGAGCAAGGGTTTTTGGCTTTCAATCCTGCAATGACTAAGTGGAAATGAGGACAACATAGTGGTGGGAAATCTCTACTTTCTTATTCTGCTTCGCAGGAGCCATAGTAATCTGTATAAATTCTAAGTCTATCACCAACATATTTCAGCAAACCTTTTACTTTTGCATTTCTTCCACTCCTAGGAGAACTGCTCACCCTAAATCCCATTTCACGTTTGCTAGCTCTTTTAGGTTCATTTCAGTTAGAGGCAGTTCCTTCCTATATGATCTTTGCTGATCCATCTTTTGTTCTTTTTTATGCCTACCTAAGGTTTTACTTACTGTGGTTCTGAGCTACATTAAATCCTTTCTGGAACAAAGTGAGGTATAAACAGAGAGTTCCTCTAGTCCAATACGATAATTGTTCATAGCTCTAGGGCAGAAAGAAGGGTTATCAAGGGATCTAAACATCACAGGTAACTTTAATAATCAATATTGGCATCTCATTTTTGAGAAGCATATATTAAATTATAATTAATTTGCTCCCTTAAATTTATTTTTTAAAGCAGTTGTTCTAAAAGGATATAATTATAATTACATTTTGGCCATTTTACATTCTTATTCTTTGTTAAATTAGATCACATTAGTCTTTATGATACAGATATTTTCTGGGAGTACTAGTTCATCAGAATTCAATGCAGGGCACTGGAAAGGCTCCAGAGACCAAGCTACTCTCATGCCCTTAGAACTCAGTGAATTCTTTAAAATAATAATAATAAAAAAGTGTATCTATATGCTATCCCTTTGTAAGAACTCAAAGAGTTCTTGGAGATTTTTCAAAAATCCAATTAAAGGTTATGGCTAGGGGCTGCCCCGTGGCTGAGTGGTTAAGCTTGCATGCTCTGCTTCAGCAGCCCAGGGTTTCGCCGATTCGGATCCTGGGCGTGGACATGGCACTGCTCGTCAGGCCATGCTGAGGCAGCATCCCGCGTGCCACAACTAGAAGGACCCACAACTAAGATATACAACTAAGTACTGGGGGGATTCGGGAAGAAAAAGCAATATACAAAAAAAGAAGATTGGCAACAGTTGTTAGCTCAGGTGCCAATCTTTAAAAAAAAAAAAAAAAAGTTTTTGGCTAAAAGTTACTGGGTTGCTGCATTCTTTCAAAGTAAATTTCTGATCAACTTTAAATGGTAACGGTAGAAGGTTGTTCAAGCTTCCTCTTCCTCTTTTTCTGTCCTTCCTATTTGTTGTTTTCTAAGATTCTATCTACTGACCTCTCCCCTTACCTCTAACTCTCTCTAAGCAATCTCAACCATTCCTGAGCTCCAAGTACCACTTGCGCACTGACAATCCACTTCTTTCTCTAGCCTGCACATCTCTCCTGAGGGCCAGTCTAGCAGATCCACCTGTTTACTAGAAATTTCCACCTGGATGATCTAAAAGCACCCTAAAGATCTAAAACTGAATTTGCTATTTTTATTACACCAAAATATTGTAAATTCTTCTAAATTTCCTATTTCAGCAAGTATCACCTTTTACCATATTAGCCTTCTACAAGTTAGCAAAGTTAGAAATGTTAACCTCGACTCCCTTCTCTTCGCTTCCCACAATACAATTAATACTATTCTTTCTGCCCCATGAATACCCCTCATCTTTGTTCTCTCCTCCTCAGCCCCCCTGCATCTGCTTTCAAACTTTGGGTAGGTCTACAGTAACTGCCTTCTAACAGGTCTCCAGCCTCCAGCCTCCTTCCCCTCCAGCTCTTTTCTATACACCGCTGCCATGGTCCTCTTTCTAAAACATGACCAGGATCAAATTATTTTATATGTCAATTATACCTCAATAAAGCTGAAATTAAAGAAAAATGTCACTGGTTCAATACTAGGTCCTGGGGATTCTACACGATTCTTCACAATCTGGTCCTACCCCTTCTAGAAGAATTTCTGTCACTTCCTGAATCATGAGAGAGGGTACAAGAACATAAGCACATAGTCAGACTACCTGAGTCTGAATCTTGGCTCCGAATTTCTTGGCTAGAGCAAGTTCTTAACTTATTTGTGCCTCATTTTCTTCTTTTGCAAAATGGGGATGATGGTAGCTATGCTTAACTAAATCACGGGGTTGTTTCTACTGCTGAAATGTTAAGTATGAAAAGATATAACTGATAGTTTCTAAGGACTCAACAGATATTAAGTAGAATTATCATCATCATTATCCCTCCACAAGTAGGTACTTGCTATTCCATGCTCTTTAATACCTTGCTCTTTCTGCTGAGAAAGCTTCTCTATGCCCCCTCCTGGTCCAATACCACTGCCTTCAAGATCCAACTCAGATTCGCCTCCACTACAGTGTTCTCCCACCTCCCCAAGGCAGTTAGTTACTCCTTCCCTTTATGCTCTGGAGCCTTAAAAAGTCTTCCTACGGTTATACGTAGCACTGTATTGCACGTATTTTTATGTATCTGACGCTCTCCTACAACTTAAGTTAAAGCTCCTAAGGGTTAGGGTTGTGTCTAACAACATGTACACCCCTCACCCTACTCTCTGGTACAGGAGTACAAGGCAAGCTACCCTGTTGAGAGCATAGAACACGGCTTTGCTGAATGAACAGATCTTTGTCCCTCACTTTATGGGACCTAACAGAATTTACTTTGCAGCTGTTATTTTTCCTGAGAGCCTCAGACCATGTCTTCCCCATCTTTGGATTCTGGAAGCACGTAGAAGGATAGACAGCAAACAAGAGCTGCTCAAAAACAATTTGTTTGGTGACAAATTCAATCTTCCCCTTTAGAGTACCTCCCCTCTGTCCTTAAGATTCCTAAAGGCTGGACTAAATAAGGGAATGGGAACCTCCACATCAAACTATTATTATGAGGCACTTGAATGAGACTGTAAACACCTTATAACTTTAGCTTTTGAAATCATAGTGATCTTGATTCCCTGCAGGGCCTAAGTCACTGTAAAGCAAAACGCAAGCGCCCTTTTTATTACGAAGTTCTCATAAAGTACCAACATTGGTGACAGGATTGTAAATTTTTATTTCCAGCATGATTTAGTCATAGTCTTAATAGTCTCCATCAATGACTCAAAAATAAAGTTTCTTGCAATTCTAGTGGAATTGCCTTTGACTTGTTGAAATGGTGAGGAACTAAAAGTTTAAAAGCTTCAACAAAATTTCAGTGAGTGTAATAATAGTTCTCATTCCAACTCATAAGTTTAACATCAGATAGAGTAATGATTTTCTAAGAGGTGGACGAATTTCTATCCTAGCAAAAACTTTAGCGGCTAGAGAGAGAGAGAAAAGCTGATTTAAATAATATTTCCTCTATGTAAACTTTGGCTGGCAAATAGGTATAGAAGACATAGTCAATCTGTTTCACGGCAAAACTAAATTTCTTAAGTGAAAAAAAGTATCAATACACTGGTTAATTTGTTTTCTACTAGTTAATTTTTAAAGAAAAGGTGCTTTGCATTAGAAGGGATACAGATAAATATCTATTGATGTTAACCTCAATTTTTATAAAAATATAAATATATTACATATATTTTATTTGCATATAAGATCAGATGAACATGGACTAAGGGGATTTCCCTGGTTGTGTAATTATGGGTCTTGTACATTTCCTTTTTTTCCCTCATCTGTATTTTTCAACAATGAATTTGTGTTGTTTACATAATAAGAGTTATTTTAAATAAAAAAATGTACTTTTCGTTATAAAACTAGAAACAATTTTTTTAAAAATTAAGCTATTGTCATTAAGTTTACTTACCAAGAGATTCTCCCCCGCCATTCCTCTGTTGTTAAAAACCACACATCTAAAAACCAGGAAAGGAATTTTTGTTATTTTTACACACGATTCTTGCTCACAATATAATATTAAAATCATCTTAGTAGCGCTCTTTTAGAGCACTAAAAGATTTTTAAAAATCTGTTCCAAAGACATGAGAAAGTCTGACAATTTCATCTAAATGCACTAAAAATACCTTTCCAGTTCTCTAAATTCAACATGTGGGTTCAAATCAGAAAACCATATGTTGACATGATATTAAATTTTCCTGCCAAGTGCAGAATTTTTACAACTTCTATGCATACGTATAGGCCTCCAATAAGTGTTATTAAAACAATTCTAAATACAAGTCAAACTTAAATGTTTTGCCTCAAATAAAAAAAAAAATGTCCGCTACCTATTCTATTTGTAACATTAATAAATATCTATTCCTATCCTAAGAAATAGCTCTTGTTCTCTCAAGGCTCAGCAAACATGGAGACTGGAATTTTACCTGACGTGAAAACACTGCCACAGGCAGAGCTGCAAGGAGCCTGGCACCCGCGCTGGCAGGATGGGCCCCTCTAGGCTACTGCTTGGTGTTCAGGTGACCTAGAGGAGGAACACTCCCTGTGTGATCCTGTTTGCCACTCCCGGGTCAACGATCACATGTAAAGGGCTAGGGCAGTGTTGGCTCATAGTAAGTACACGACTGTTAGCTGTTAGTAGCAACGGTAATTGTAGCACCGTGCTAGCTCTAAAAAGTCATTCTGCATTTAAAATATTTCACTCTCATTTAACTTTCAGTCAACCACAACCCCAGATTTGTATTTGTTCCCATCCTCAAACAAAATCCCAACTTGTATCTGCACAGGTTCTCTTTGATTTACTCAATCTATATTCATGTTGATTCAAATCCATTCTGTTTTTCTCTGTTTACTTATCCAATCAATCAAGGCCACTAAAGGTTCTCACTCTCTGCTTTCATGGTGCTGCTGATCACCCCATAGGTTCACACACTGATGCACCGATTGCCCTACGGAACATTCACAACTCTGACCCTCCTGTCGGGGGTTTAGAACTCAACGTGGTATTCAGGATATGTTTCTGCAATGGAATTCTTTTTTGCATCTGAAAGGTCGTAGAGAGAATTTTATTAGGTCCAACAGAAAGAAGAGAAATGTTTACGAAGCTCAGAAACGTGATTTGAGAAAAAGCTAGAAATATTACAATTTATTGACTAGTCAAAGAAAGATCTTAAATATACTGTAAAAACAAGCAGAAAAGTTAGAGTAGAGTCAGTTAGTCCTTAATCTTTTCTTGCTAAAAAGAATGGCAAGACAGGCTAGACATAAGTAAAATTTAAGTCAGACACTTGTATTTACTCGCATAACACAGGAATCGGGAATAAAGTTAATTGTGACCTTGAACCTTGAAGATCTTAGTCTTTCAGAAAAGAACCACTTTTAGAGTGCAAACACTACCCAAGAATAAAAATGGCTTCTGTGGCAAGACATCATCATGTGACTGCCGCTGAGAGACAGGAACAGAACTGGTGGGGGGAAAGAAAACGATCATCTACAAATTCATGAAAAAGCAGCCTCTACACCTGGGATTTTCTTCCAAACTGCAGACTGGGATATTTGCACTTTCTTTTAGGCAACTTTGAAAAGTGGATCACAGCTCTGGTATCTCTTGCTGGAGGAAGAACTGCACTGACCTCTCCCTAGGCCTTTGTTCCTGACAATGTTCAACCAGCAGCAGTCATCACTGCATATACTTTCAGCCTTGGAAACAGGGCAGGGAGATAAGGAAGAATGAGGGAGCAAAGCAGCCAGAGAAGAAGGCAGAATGAGAGCTGTGTTCTGTCCCTTTCTCCCACTCCAGTTGGTGACAAGCAACCAACTTCTTCTTTCATTTAACCCCTTCTCTGCCCTGAGAGTCATCAGGGAGCACTACACATAAAACTAAAAGAGCTGCTGTGAAACAACTACTATTCCTAAGACATTGATAAGCCTCTGCTACCTTTGTAATAAGTGCTCTCCAAATTAATGTTTACAATTTCTCTCAAACAATTTCAAAGGGTATGTATGTGAGGAAAGTTGTTCTCCAAAACTTATTTTTCCTACGTATTTTAACTACTTAAATTTTCTTCTCAAAACAGGGAAAATATAAATAAAGAGAAAAAAATACCAAATAAAGAATAGATCTAGTACTAAGAACTTTCTGTGACAAGAGAACACGTTAACCAGGGAAGCAGGTGAGTCCCTTTTAATGAAAGTTGAATAAAAAGCTGAGGGTTACCTACAGCACAGGATTTCCCAACCTTTAGCACTATGGACAATTTGGAACAAATAATTCTTTGGGATTGGGGGCTGTCTACAGTCCCCTAGGTTGAGAACCACTGTTACAGGGAGATAGACCAGATAGCCTTGAATCTGCTCAAGCCCAGTGATTCACTAGAACAAAGTGACTTTATCAGACGACCGTAAATATTTTCCAGTTCTAAGACTCCACAAGTCTTTGAGCTAAGAACAGATATAAGAGTCAAAGGGTGGAGTGAGAGGAACATTCAGAGATTGCTACACAGATTTCAAATAACAATAACAGATAACACTTATCAGTCTTTTCTATGTGCCTGATCATGTTCTAAGCACTTTACATGAATATTAATATTGGATGATTCATTCATTCAAAAATTTATTATACAGAATATTTACTGAACTGAAGATTGAGTTAGAGCTTACAGGAATAAAACAAAATAAAAATTTAAGGTTCCTGGCCTCAAGGAGAGTACAATCTAGTTAGGTTGAAAAGATGCACCATATTTTCAGTTGAGTGACTACAACAAAAGTGATAGTACAAGGCAGTATATGATTCAATGTCCAATGAGTGGTATAGACAGTAAAGCCATATGAAGTCAGGATGGGCAAAATTGATTAGGAAAACATTATTGGAGAAGGCAGATAGATTTTATGCTGCGACTTGAAAACTAGTAAAGATTTCAGCAGAAGGAAAGTGTGGGATATATTATGAGTTGAAGGGAGCAATGTGAGCAAAGCTACAAGGCAGACACATATAAAATTTTCTAAGGTATGAGAAAATAGATTATCTTAGCTAAAACACTGTAAAACAGAGGGTAATGAAAGAAAGTAAGATAGAAACATAGGTTAGGACCAAAATAGACATAGAGTTCTCAACGCCAGATTAAGAAAAGATGACAAGGAGGTTCTGCTTCTGGAAATGTCAGAGTAGATTCTAGTGGGCCAACCATTCCTGGAATAAAAACTATAAACTCTTAAATTATAAAGTCAATGGAGAACAACCAAAGCAGGCAGAAACTGAATGAGAGTTGACACTTAGGAGAAGAAAATGGCATCGGGTAAGTTTTCTGTTCTTACAGGTTTCCGTCTGAGGGGAAGCACAGGGTGGTATTACTCAATGATGGATAAAAGTCAGATTGAAGTCCAATGGGCTTGAAAAACCAGAAAACAGAGTTTGGTGCAACTACAGCAGTTAGAAAATCAGGGGAAAATCTCAGAAAACAGAGAGAGACACAAGGGGAAAGTCCTAAATTCTGGATAAAAACTGGGCCCAAAGCTCTGGCTGACCCTTCATCTATACATATGTGAGGCAGACTCCAAGCAGCCCAATTAAAGATAAAAAACTAAACCAGCCCGGTGACATAGTGGTCAAGTTTGCACACTCCACTTCGGCAGCCCAGGGTTTGCCAGTTCGGATCCTGGTGCAGACCTACACACCACTTATCAAGCCATGCTGTGGCGGGCGTCCCACATATAAAGTAGAGGAAGATGGGCATGGATATTAGCTCAGAGCCAATATTCCTCAAAAAAACCCAAAAAAACAAAAAAACCCACCTGAACAGAGATTTTAGCTGCTGTCTACTACAGAGGAGACAAAGTTTGAACTTGAGTTTAGCCCAGTTATCTGCCTGATAAAACAAATAAACAAAAATCAGCACTCTGAGAAAATATAACAGAATCCAGAGCCTCTACAATGGATCATTCAAAATGTCCAGAACACAATCCAAAATTACTAGACCATGAAGAAACAGAAAAACATGACCTATGAGATGAGATAACATAATCAGGGTAACTGACTCTGAGATGGTCCAGATGTTAATTAATAGATGAGGAGGATTTAAAGCAGCTATTATAACTATGCTCAAGCTTGTAATGAATTTCAAAAATAGAAAATCTCAGCAGAGGAATAAAATCCATTAAAAAAATGTAAATTCTAGAACAGAAAAATACAATATCTGAAATAAAAAAGTCACTGGATTTGCACATTGCAGTTCCAGTCTAAAGATGAGAGAGAAAAAAAAAGATTTAAAAAAAGAATAGAATCTCAGTGATCTGTGGAACAATATCAAAATATCTAACATACATGTAATTTCAGTCCCAGAAGAAGAGGAGATAAAGAATGGGGCAGAAAAATATTTGAAGAAATAATGATCCCTAATTATTGAAATCTGATGAAAAGACAAAAAGTCATCGACACACGACACAAAAGACAAAGAAAAGTGGTGGTGGGACTAAAGGAACAAAAAACCAGAAAACAAATAATAAAATAGTAAACCTTACATCCACCATATCAATAATTATATTAAATGTAAATGGACTAAAAACCCCAATTAAAAGGCAGATTGTCAGACTGGATAAAAAAGCAAGACCCAAGCAATACACTTTAAGTATGAAAACACAGATACTTTGAAAATTAAAGTATGAAAAAAGATATATCATGTAAACAGTAAGCATAGGAATTCTCGAGTGGCTACAGTAATATCAGAGAAACATCACGACCGGAGACAAAGAAGTACATTTCATAAAGGTAAAAGAGTTAACGCAAAGGAAGACTAACAATCATAAACGTATATGTGACTAATAACAAAGCCTCCAATACATGAAGCAAAAATTGACAGAATTAAATGGAGACAGAAAATCCACAACATCCTTCTGTTGAGAGACAAAAAAATTAGTAAAGACGTAAACAGTCTGAATGACATTATCAACTATCTTAACCTAATTT